CACAAACCAATCTGTGCGCTCGACCGACACAAAGCTTTATCAAGTGACTTTCGATGGCTACACCACCCGTAAGTGCATATTCCCATCATTTGTGCATGGTAGATATTGGGCAATTAGTAAATACACGTCCCTTTAACCCTTCAGCCTACTAAACTCCCCGTATAGGTTACGACTGTATTCTAGGTTAAAATTTCTGCATGCAAGTACAGGCCGCACTAGAACTTGCCATTTACTGGCTTTAGCAAGTATAACTACTATAACTGGCACTTTTAGTATATGCACAGCGCTTCTAAGGGAAGTATCGTGAAAAATGGCACATGCCACTTTGTTCCGACCTAAATGTATGATAGATCCTCAGCTCCTATTACATATACATCTCTTTAACCTTGAGCCTACTAATATCCCCTTATAGGTGAAGACTGCACCCTAGGTATAATTTAATACATGTGCGTATAAGATTTAGCAAGTATAATTACTAGAACTAGCAGTTCTAATAGTAATATCCTAGCCCTAGCAGTGTAAACTTAGGAGGAAACCAGGACAAGCACTGATGTGTTCCGAGTTCTAAACATCTGCTCTACTGGGAATGGCAAAAATCCATGTCCACATTACTATGTGAGATCCCAGACCTGACATCAATCAGTTTCATTTGTGACCAAATATTATCAGCACTACTATCACTCAGATACACCGCTAGAAGCAGCAGTATAAACAGTAGTTGCAGTAGTAGAAATAGGAAACCCGGGCCCCCCGAATATTTCTGGGCACCTACTATGGATGAGTGAGGGTAAATAGTGATATAGAACCAGCGCAAAAGGCTACTGTAGCACCTTGTGACATTACAGAACCCCCGATATTAATTAATAACGTCTCGTTAACAATAAGATTACACAGCCTGATGGATAGAGTTGAGAGGGCGGAAACCAAGGAAAGCCCTTATATGCCAATACCACCACTATCATTTATACTACCAGCATCACTACTATTGCCCTATTCTTGTTGCACTGACTTAGACTGTCCCACTATACCTACCTGATACTGTATTGTCGTACTACTACAGATAGATACAGTGGTAGGCCTAAATGTAGTCTATAGACGGCGAACTGCTCGGAATAAGGGCATGGTAGGACTCGTTCATTACTTCACAAACGCTCTATTATTATCCAAATGTTAATAATTATTACCTCACACAGATTAGGAGTGCATACTGGGTGCCACTTCTTAAAAAGCACACATAGGTAATAGTTATAGTATACTATCTACTGGCCGTAGTAAGCATGATTATTATAAAATTGGCATTTTTAGCATAGGCACGTACCTATAGCAGCAATATCTTAGTCCGTACAGCTTGATGGATAGAACTGAGAGTTCCGAAGAAGAAGATGCGATCACTGGAACAAGGATTTTATTTTCCTGAC